AGACCCAATCTGGGACTCCTCTGTGTGGGACCTCTCACATCTAGTCCATCACTGAGTACTTTCCAATCTAGCTCCAGAATATATATCCTGAAATTGTCCACATCTTCCCATCTTCACAGCTACGGACCTAGTCCCAGACGCCATCTTCTCTCACCTGGACTCAGTGTCCTGTTTGGTGCACCTGCTTCCAGCCACTGTTTCTCTTCTGGTGGTCTTCCAGGCGCATGTATATCCATTCATATAATTTTCTGACTACGCCCTTAGGTAGAAGTCTAAGAAGTAGAATTGCTAAACATGAAACATTGTGTTGTGATACACAATGTCAAATTGCCTTCTCCAAACAGTACACAGCTTACAGTCCCAGAAACCATGCTGGAACGTGTGTGCTTTCTGCATTCTTCCCACTGTGGGGATTGTTAACCGTTTTTAAATTTCTGTTGTGTTATGGATGAGCAACATCGGCGCTGTATTTATATGCTCATCTCTGACTACAATATGGTTGATATCCTTCTCATTGGTTTCCTGTATTTTGTCTTTTATGACTTGTTCCTTCATAATCTTTGCACATGCTTCTTTTAGGGTGTGTATCCATTGAACTTCTGAGCTGCAAACGATAGAAACCAATTTAAGCAGATGGGACATTGATTCTTTTGGGTATGGGGTGGCTCATGGAAATGACAGGAAGGCTGAAAAATGAGGCTCAGGGAATGGCCAAGAACAAAAATGGACTGGGCACAGGAACCACAGCCAAGGCTGTGGGGGAAGGTGGCAGTGGATTAAGCTTCCGCCAATGGGCACATTTCCTGTCCCCACTGCACTGCTCCCAAGGGTCACCAGGCTCTCGAACAGCGCAGCCTAGAAAGTGGCAGATGTCCACTCTGGGACCTGTCTTCTCCTTGTTGTTTTGTACCAGCTCTTTATACATTTGAAGTCTCAGTTCTTTGTACATCTTCTCTGTTGGAATTTTTGTTTCCTTCAGTTTGTATTTTGCCTTTTAACTTTGTTCAGAGTGCTTTTGGCCATATTGAAATTTTAAGTTTTCTTCAGGGAATTGCAAAATATTTTCAGGTGCTGATGGTCTGACAGTAAATAATTCTTCTTTAACTCCAGATTCTTCCATAGTGTCAGATAGCTCCTATCTGTGACAGTTGGTGGCAGTAATGGCCCCCAGGGATTCATGTTTCTTGTATCCAAACCCTTAGCTGTTCCCCCTCCCAGATTAATCAGGACTTGCTGGTATGACTCGCTGTGGTCAAGTAGCAAGTGCAGTGTAAGCAGAGGCTAGGAAAGTGCTCACACAGGGGGTTTGCTCCCTTGGAGCCCCACAAGCCCTACAGCACAAAAGAACCTGGAGCCTGGGCTAGCTGGCTGGGTGATGTGAAACCCAACCAGCTGACGGCAGAGATTATCCAGGTCCACCCAGATCAGGACTGCTCAGCTGACCCATGGAATTATGAGAAATGACAAGAGTTGACATTGTAAGCCACTAAGTTTTGGGGTGGCTTGTTACACAGCAAATACGAACGGATACACTAACTATACATACAATTTCTTAAAAAATTCTATTAATAACAGCTCCCTATTTATTTTCTTACTATAACTTCCCAAACTATATAAACTGCAGGAGAGAATAACTCAGGACCTAGAAGAACCCACCTCTGGGTTCAATGTCTTCTGCAAAAGACACTCATTTTCTGGAAGCTCTTCATAGAGGAATGCCACTGAGAGAAGTTCCCTCTTGCCTTGAGAAGTGTTTACTTTAGGTGATCCAAAGGATCAGATAATCCATATTGCTTCTATTTTTGCAAAAGGCAGAGTAAGAAATATCCAGTTTCATTCTTTGAAAAGCTAATGGTGTGCTCAGATCTCTCTGGTTGGACAGAGAATTCCCTGGCTCTCCTAATCTTTTCCCAATTATTTTCTCACTCCAAAAGCATACTTGAATTTAACCTCTAGGTTGACAAATATCCATCACTGTTCCTTCTTAATCATTTAAAGTTATCTTTGCTATGATCAGAGGGTTCCATCCACAGGAAGACCAGGTCCAACATTTACTCAGCGCAACATTTTGTCTACAGAAACACGGGGGAGATGATGTGGGTGTCTTTCTAGCTGACCCCTTTAATGTCTGTCCTGAATTCAACCAGTATTCCTCTGACTGTAGGGTTGGGGAAATTCCGTCTGGTAAAATCACAGAGTGGTAAACATTAAGATACTTTGAGGCCACAAACCACAGTCTCTTTGCTCGAGGACCCAGAATTCTCGGTGACAGAGCTAGGGCTGAAATACTTAAAGCTATTTCCACTACTGGCTACACATCATCTCCTTAATATGGACATACTAACACTCAGTCCTGGCCCTCTTCTCGCTCTGTGCTCTCACGTGACCCAGGTGAACTTACTCACTCCCAGATATGTAAATACTGCTTTGTGCCTCTGACTTCCAAATTTATATTTGTAAACTCCAGGCTGGTGGATCTAATTGCCTACTCACTATCTCTCCTTAGGTATTTTGCAGATGTATCTAAGTTAACACATCCAAAACAAAACTTTAAATGTCCACCTGGTCTACCTCTCTCCACCCGCATCATCACTGCCCTTACTCAGGCCACTAGTATCACTTACACAGACATTTCCAACAGTTCCTGTAGATGATTCTAATAGTTCCTGAATCATTTCTTTCTTCTTCTTTACTTCCCTTCTAACCCATTCTCCACACAGATCCAGAATAATCTTCTAATTATAAAAGCCAGATCATATCATAATGACTGGTTATAACCCCTTCCAGTTGCACATGGAGTAAAATCCAGAATCCTCACTGTGGCTGGAACATCCTCGTGGTCTAGCCCCTTCTCACCTCTGACTGCACCTCATCTCACTCCCACCGTGATCTCTCAGGTTCAGCCACACTGGCCCCTTCAAGTTTCTCAAATGTGCACAATTATTTCCTGCCTCTGGGTCTCCAGCAACGGGGTCCCTCTGCTTGGAGGCACCCTTCTCTCTCTTCCTCACCCTCTAGGCCTCAGCTTAAATGTCACATCCTCTGATGACTTGCTGTTCTTTCGGTCAGCCTTTTATTTGTTCTTTTCATAGCAGTTCTTGCCATTTGTAATTCTTTTATTCAAATGTCCTTTCACTCAAACTCGTTTTTTGTCACTACTCTGTAAGTACTCCAAGTATGCCAAATCTGCCTTGCTTACCATAGCATCCTTGTTAAATAAAAATCTGAAACCACCGTGCCTCCCCAACAATTATTATTATAGATTGGATTCTCATACCTCCTCAGCCAGAGGTCTTTCTTCTCTGATTAGATCTTCACAGAAAAAAATTAGTCTTTTTCTTTTTACATGGAATTCTACTTTCTTTTCACAAAAATACAAGAACTTAAGGGCTTGTTTGGCAGGAGTTATGCAGTTGGTGTATTTACTTTAGAAAGCACGCAGCTGCTTAGAAAACTGCAGAAGTCTGTAGACACATTTCCATGTCTTTAAAAAATAGCCATCCATTCTTTCGACCTCCTCTACCTTCATTGCTTTGGAGAGTCTCAATTCAAGCAGATAACATTAGAATCATTATTTCCCACACTCCGAGCTTCATGGTCTTTAATGAATGACTCCATCCCTTTACGCTCAGATACATAATCTGTATAAATAAATCAGAATGGAATATTGCTGGAAGAGGAAGTAGAGTTTGAAGAATCCACCGAGAAGAGTCCATTTGCAAAAAGTAACTCAGGTCACATGTTTTGTCTATAGCCCAGAGGGTGACACCATGGAGGCAGGGAGCGGGGGGTTTGCACAAGAGTGCAAAGTGTACAAGAGCCTGACTCTGTACTGACCTGGTCATCTACTTGGGTAAATTCCAAACCTGGCAGAGCTTCCTTCATTGTATATATTTCAGATTAGTCCTTCTGGAGGTGATGTGAGTTAGAGAGGCCCAAACTCATGATTTGTTCAAATGGACATCATTTTCAAAAAATAATCACATCCCTAAATTTCTAAAAGCAGAGCTCTCCAGTACACTCCTGACAATAGGGGCACAGCCTGAATATTGCTTGCAGTATTTCCTGGGCACGTAACTCCCCGCGAAGCTGAAAGGAAGGAAAGAATTGGAGAGCAGTGTCTATAAAGAGAGTGACCAGTACATCACCAAAAAAGGCGAGAGGAACCATCCATCCCAAATTCACCACCTAAGACTTTCTTGGACTTCTCAGATTTGCAGGACACACACATGTCTGTTTCATCTGTGCCAGATAACGAAGTCCCACATGCCTGCGTCTGTGAAGCTGTGCTCTTCCGAAGGATGCCTCCGGCCATGCCCTATCAGGCACTTATTAAATACTTGACACACCTTGAAAAGTAGGAAAAAAAATACTCTCTGAAAGCCCAAATCAGTGTTTTCTCAGCTTAGAAAATAGATGACCTAAATCTGGCCCTGTCTGCGCCTTGTACAAGAAACCCAACCACATTTTCCATATTTTAATGCAAAACGCAGTTTCGAACACACGTTGCCACTGGCAGAGGAAAGCAAAGCAATCGCCCCACCGCCCAGTTTCGCCTTGGCCTTTGCTGCAGCTGGCCTGCGTTCCCCGTGGATGGATGCCACACACCTGCAGCCTTGGGCCCCTGCTCCTCCCTCCATTCCCAGGCAGCCCTGGGCTGGAAGCACCGAGAACAAGCACACGGCTCCCTTCAAGCCTCTCCCTCCCTGCCCCGAGGCCAGGCCCTCCTCTTCCTCTGCTCTGTTACCTGGCTGGCCAGAAGCCTTTGGAAGATGGCCCATCTTCACCTTCTCCCTCCACAGGGAGCAGGGGTCTGGGGCCCAGAGGACGTGGCCCCTGCTTTGCATCTGTCTCCCAGAGGAGGATTTACAGAGCCCAGTTTTGAGATTGCTTGGAGCTGGTGATCAGTGAGGTGTCTTTAGGCTGGTGGAACCGACTGTGCTGGCTTGGTCAGTGAGCCTGGACTAATGCCATTCTGGGCTGCCTTTTGTTCGCTTTAGGAGGACACGGTCAGGGTGCAGGACGGGCCTCTGGCGGGATTGCTGGCGCCGTGGAGACGATTCATTAGCCTATGAGCTGCCGAACCTCAGCTGTTCTCTCCAGCGACGTGTGTGACAAGGAGGTATTTGTTGAGGTGATGGGGCTTGAGTGGGCCTCAGGCCAGACCCCCCACCCTCCGGGGACCAGCCTTCCAGCCCTGAAAGGCAGTAGTGTCCACAGTGGCTTTAATGCTGTGTCCTTTCAACCTGAGAAGTCCAACCAACTTCTCTTAATTCCACTTTGAAGTTTTGGCAGCTGGAGTGACATCCCTCAGGGATACTGGAGGCCAGGTACACACCACATGGGGGGGTCAAAAGCTGCTTTTGAAGATCCCCACCACGGGTGGGGCTTCTTGCCTTTGTCCGTGTGGTCAGTCACACTGCCTGGATGGAGTTTGCTTGGGAGCGTGTGGTGGTCTTGGGTCAGAGCCACCGGTCTCCAGGGCTAAGGCCCACATACCTTTGCAACTGATTTTGTCAGCAAATGCCCTGGATTACTGTTCCCTGGTAAGTCCTCTTAGAGGTTCAGGGACTTTTGAGATTTTGAATTTCTAATTTTTGAAACTCCTAGTATTTCAGAAAGGAAGAAATGCCAAATAGGTCTTAAAAAAACCCATGATATATTTTAAGTGTTTAATCTAGTTGGTGTATTTCCAGAATTGTATGATATCCCTCGTTAGAAATGACAGCAAAGACGACATTGGGGATCCATGACTGTGACAATTGAGCCCAACAGTCACTCCATCTTTGCCAACTCCCTGCCAGACTCCAGCCTGCCCTCCCTCCCCCTGAAGGCTGTGGCTCCTGCTCTAGACTGCTTACGGGCACTTTGGTAGCACCCCACAGAGAAGAGGTACCTTGGTGGCCTTGAAGATCAAAGAAATTTTTTAGGCGGGAGTTTGCACTTTACTATTAGAGGTTGATGACTTCCCAGGTAAGTTTAGCCCATAGTGACTGCCGTTTCCTGTTTGGTTTTGAACTTCACGTTTGCAAGGGGAGCAGGGATGCCAGTGGCAGTCCCGGCTCAGGTACCCTACTGCCCAAGGCACGCTACCCACCACTGCAAGTTCTCTCAAGACTCCACGAGAAGGAAGAGTGTCTTCTCTCTGAGGGTTACCCTTTACTAGAGCAATCCATTTTCCACGGTGGTGGTCCCAGGACCCCCTTGCAGAGAGTGAGTCTGGAAAGGATGACGGTGCTCAATGCACATTCCCTCTGCTCTCCCTCAGTTCCAGTTCCCAGGGAGCTAAGCAGCTCGTGTGACTAATTCTGACCAGTGGGTTGTGGGTGCACGTGGTTTGTGTCATTTCTGGGCTAAAGGGTAGAAGTATCACCTTCTCAGCTGTGTCTTCCCTTCCTATGGGAACCAGGGATGTTTTAAGTGGTAGCCAGGGTGAAAACCCCCTCCCTGCCGTAGACCTGAACATACAGCAGAGTGAGAAATAAACTTTCAGCTTGATTTCAGTGCTTACTTGTTACCACAACATGGCTTAACCTGTCCTCACCAATACATTTATTCAACGTAAATTTTATTTAAATGATCCAATCAAAATATTTAAAATACTCTTATGTATGCATATTATTGTATATGTAAATATATATATTTATACTCCTTGGTTCCAGCAAGGATTCCTCAAGTCAGGACTGCATAACTATAGCAGTTGCAGTTTTATCTTTTCTACAGCTTTTTCCCCCCAAATGATTTGTAGTTGTATGTGCAACACTTTGCCCTGAGATGTGTGCTCTACAATAAAAACCAAATCTAACACATTTTGAAAAAAAATTAATTAAATTAATTAATTAATTAGTTAATTAAATTAATTTAAATGAAAAGATTTGGGCTGATAAAATTCTTCCTGTGCAACAAACAAAATGAAACACAAATTGGCATCTTTTAAATGTTTGCATGTATTAAGCACATGATGCTAAGATTGTCACCTAATGTGGGCAGTGGGATTAGGAGTCTGTAAATCAAATTTTCTCTGCAGGGAATAAAGCCTCAAACAGTCTATGGTCCAAGGAAGCTTAGAAGAGCGGAAAAGATCTAGAATAAGAATTGGGAGATTTAGAGGCCATGGATATTTAGGATCAGTCTCTGAAATGAGTCTTAACTCACTGTCCAGGGTCCGTCCTCACTTACTCAATCCCACTTGGTCTGCCCCCTTCTGAACTGCTATTTGCAGTGGTTCTCTGTGCTTGACCTTAGTTACATTCCGTCTCACGTTTTTCATCCATTTGTTCCAAAGAGATCTGCTGAGCCTGGGTTTGGATCCCATGTGAAATGTTGGGAACACAGGATCTAAGCTCATCCTTAAAGATCTGACAGTCTAGTGAGATGCGCATGTGCAGTCTGTTCAGGGTTTCACAGTTAGTAGATTTGCTCCCTCCTCAGGGGGAAGAATTTTGTTCTTCATTTATCTTCCACATGCCCCGGCACATCACTGGCCGTGTGGAGGCTGTGTCATAGACAGTTGGCGCGTGCCTCTGCTGGGCACACTTACCAGCCAGTGGGTCTCTCTTGATCTTTATTGACATCCATTCCCAAAGTAAAAGGGTCCCCCTGGTTTTCGTTCAGATCCATTTTCCCATCCTGGATTACCAAGGTCTGCCTTGGGTTGCTTTATGCTGTGTAATTCTGGCAAAGTCACCTCCATTTTCCATCCCTAAAACTCACTCAAGGACATCCAGGGTTTATATTCGATAACCAACAGATGGGTAAACTTGTGCATGTGCAGGGATGAAGGCTGTGAGGCGGAAAAATAACTGGCAGTCATCTGACCTGCTCATTCACAAGCTCTCTTAAAGTGTCATTAACATGAAATGCAGCATTTCGTAGGAAGACCATCCCAAACATCCCCCTTTTCTCCATCACTGGCATTCAACTTGAAATGTACTCTTTGCACGTCCAAGTCAAAGCAAGACTTTTCCAAGTGTCAGCATCGCAAGCTCGAGCTAGCTCTTGGCAGTGAGCTGGCTTTCCTTTCGCCCCTGGCAGAGGGTTAGTAACCAAAGTGCAGCTAGCTGAGCAGGGCCACGCCAATGGACCGGGGCTTCCCCAGGTGTGAAAGGGCGCCTGGGGCCCAGTCTGCCCAGTCCTGTAAAGACAGCTGCCCCTAGTCCCCACTGGTGTCAGGTGCACAGTCAGGATGACGTAGCTATATCCTCAAAAAAAAAGAAATTTGTACGACAAAGGGCTAACGTGTTCTCTCTGCAGCTACATGAGCTGAAAGGGGCTGCAGGCAAACAACCAGAGTTTCTCAGAGGGCTGTACCAATGAGATACAGAAAGAGAGCCCCAGCAGAGGAGCGCAGCTCACGGCCCGTGCGCGCCAAGCCCCGTCAAGTAATCCTCTGCAAACGCGATGGTAATCAGTGCCACCCAAGGGCCCCAGATGTGCCAAGAAAAACCCCTTGCACCTTTGGCTGAATGTGGCTCGAGACTAGCATTTGGTGAGAGTATCTGTTGTTTCTGGGCGCTCCAGACTGCCGAATACAAAAGTGACTCTTTTGATATTGATAAATGATGTGACACATGATTCGCCCCATAGAAATTGTGCAAATCCTTAATTATGAGGGCACTTTCTCAGGGACACATTAGAATATTCTGCTAAATTGTGTTGCTGTCTTCACCTTTGCCAAGGCTTTTGTAACATTGCACAGTGAGCTGCCCTTAGAAGTTTTTGCTTTTGTTTGTAAATCATCAGTTCAACTTGCATTTAGGAGTCCAGGAATTAAAAAGAAAAAAGCAGTCCAGAAAAAAATTACATAGAGTGAAATTCCTAAAGTAGGGGTTTTTTTCCCCCCTTTTGGTGAACGGGTCACAAGCTTGCAATTCTAAACAATCTCACAATTAATTCTTGAGCTGTGCCGTCCAATTAGAACAAATGCGTCCTTTCTGGTTTAATTAGAGATGAGTATGCGCCTGTGAGCTTATTTGTATAAAATAAGTGCTCATTAAACAAGGTTTGGATCAAGTTCAGCTTGTTAGAAATGCCATGAAAAGGGAGCTTTCTCTCACTGTCTCTGGCCCCTTTAACCCCTTCAATGCCCAGAATGAACTCAGATGCGAAGACTATAAAGAGTATCTTTGCGGAAGGCTGGTGAACTTGAAAGAGGTGATGGGCTTGTTGGAGCTGTTGGTAAGCAAGGCCATCCTCTCATCCCAGCATCTTTCTGTCCTTTCCCCAGGCCGCTGGCGGAGGGAACTCGAGCTGGGGGGCGGGGCGGGCAGTGATGAAGGCCACTCCAATCGTAGGAAGAACAGGCTTCTGTCTGATGCGTGTCCCTTCGAGTCTCACTGCTCAGAGTGGGAGCTGTGGGCCAGCCGCAGCCGCGTCGCCTGGCAGCTCATGAGAGCTCAGAATCTCGGCCCGCCCTTCCCGAGACCTATGAGATTCTGCATTTTCTCAAAGCCCCCAGGTGATTTGTGTGCACACTCCAGCTTGAGGAGCCCTGGTCTAAAGGCAGCAAATGATGGAGACTTTATTTTAAAAGATGAAGGCCTCCTTGGGAGCCCCTGTGAATGTCACTTCACTTGAAGAGAAGATTGACATTCTGGCCCCCTCTCTATGGTGGGGGGGGTGCTGCGTTGAACCCCCTTGAAACTCTCTGCTACACACTCAAATGAGTCCCCTCCTGCATCATCCTGTAGTAACTTACCAGGACTAAAAGGATCCAGGTTAAGGGTCAGCCCCTCACCATATCTGTGCTTGGGCCCCTTACCCACCTCTTCAGCCCCTGCTGGCTCTCTGGCTACAGGGAGAAAAAGTTTCTGCCCTTCAGGGGCTCCCACTCTCATGGGCTGATGCTGGAGGGAGAGGGAAGAGTGGAAAAAGACATAGGACTCCCAGGCCTAAGAAGCCACCAGCAGTAGACTGATCAGGACAGCCAGTGTTAGAAAGGCCACATGTCTCCGGGAAGGAGGGAGCCTGCCTTGGCGGGAAGCCACCACGTGTAGCATCCATGTGCCAAGAGACAGCATCCAAGACTGCAGGTGCATTAAAGACAATTTGACCTGCCAAGTGTGTCAAGTGCCGCCTTGATAGATCATTCTGCTCAGCAAGAGTTTATCCATTTTTTCCTCA